CTGTGTCATCCACAAACGCAGGTTAAAACTCTACCAAGCAAATGAGGACAAAACATGTGAACATGATCCAGAAAGTCTGCTGTTTTCTCAGAGCTGAAACTCATTGAAAATGGGCTGGAAGTAGAAAAAATGTTTTGTGGTCGGACCAATCAGGATTTAGATCGACAGATGACATATTTCTTAGTGAAGGCCTTTTATATTTCAGAAAAACAATGCTAAACTGCATACTGAAGCTGTTACAACAGCATGGCTTCATGGTAGAAGAGTCCTGGTGCTGAATTGACCTGCCTGGAGTCCAGACCTTTGACCAAGCAAAAACATTTGGAGTGAAATGAAGCAGACCCAGGACTGTTGAGCAGCTAAAATCACATGGCAAGGATGGGACAACATTCCTCAGTTTCCAGATGTTTACAGGATGCTACACAGTAGCAAACATGGCCCTATACCAACTTTTCTGAGACACATTGTTGCCATCAAACTAAAAATGTCCATTTTTTTCTTGAAATTGTGCATTTTTTTTATGTTTTCTTTTTGTATTGTGAATAAATATTTGGGTTGGTGAATTTTAAAAATCTTTGCTTTCAGGTTTATTTACATTTTCACAGCATTTTAACTATTTAAAGACATTCTGACTGTATTTTACACATGTTGATAAAGTAAATAAAAACCTTCTTTTTAAAAACAAGAGGGCTCCCAATGATTCACAATCATCTACAATCACATTTGCCAAGAATATGTGTTGCTTTTGAAGTTGCAAAGGGCACAACCCTCTTTTAAGCCAGCTTTGACACATGGGTCCTGTCTGGTCACAGTCCAGGATGTAACTTGGTGGAGCGGTTATTGCATAGTTTAAGTGCTCTGAAGATCAGAGGTCAGAAATATTCTTGGACTATGTGTTATGTAAGCCTTGTCTCACGTTACTCTCTGATAAAGCGAGGTAAGCCTGATAAAGTGGTTGGGAGGTTCAGGTGCTTATATAATAGAAAAAAAGGGGAAATCTAAATCAAACAGCATCCAGTGTTTGGAAACATTAGGTGCATGGAGGCTAGCAACAGAGCCAGACAGGAAACTCCTTTAACTTGAAATCTTTCCAGGAAATCACCTTCCTTCTTTACGTGATGTAATAAAGTCTGAGAAAAGCACATGGATGGCTTTGTATGGATTCCTAGTTAACTGTAGGAACGGGCAGGAGCCCACGTGGAAATGCAGGAATGTACGAGTGTCTTGGACGTGCAAATAGCTTCACCGAAACTTAAATCGCCGTGACCCTGCCTCAACCTCAGCACACAGACTGGGTCCCTAAATGTTACAAATGTCCTCATCACATGCAGCTTTCCTTACAAAAGAAAAAGAAAAAGAAACACTGCTTAACTTCACTTTCCAGTTTCTGATGAAAGGCTGGTATTATTCTCCACTGATCAAACACAAGCAAATATACTGGAAGGAAGCAACTCGACAGCTGCCTCGAATGCACATCCACTGCTGAGTCAACAAATCCCAAACCATAAAAGCATATAAAATAAACATGTTCTGTTATTTTCTCAGCACATGTGCCTGGCTTTATATTAAAAGCCACCAGGGGAAAAGAGCTGGCTGCCTACGCTCCCGGTTGCATTTACCAGAAGGAAGAGGGAACCCCTATTTAGCAGCAAGCTCTGATTTCATTCCCAGAAATCCTGCTCCTCGTGCCCCTATCCAGTAGCTGACAGACTCGAACTCTGGTTGAGGGGAGACTTTTTTTTAATTGTTTTTTTAAACAGAGACAGATTGTGTCAGCATACTGTTCATCTGTGGGTTTAAGCAAAGCGGAGATACAGTATATGGATACAGCAGTGCAGCTTTACCCAAACGGTCTATATAGTTACCCAAAGGAATAAAAAATGATGTCCGCAGCAGTTTCTTAGATCATCAGACTAGATCTGACTTAGTGACGCTTTTGAAGGAGTTGCTCTTCGGGTCAGAGAGGGCCAAGCTGGATGTTTCGAGAACTTTTATGACCAAAAGGCCAAAGTACGCTTGGTAGATTATGAAGTGTTTATGGATATCGAGAAAAAAATAAGCGTCTGAACGAAAACAAACCTGGCTTGTTCGTTTGTCGGTTTTAAAGCTCCGCGTGAGGTTTTCTGGGTGATTTACTCAGTGCCGTAACCAAAAGCAGACAGGCAGGCTTGTTGCACACTTGGCCCAAAGCTGTCCCGAGTTACAAGCTATAGACTGGAGCACAGACATTGTGCTCCACGTTTTAAATCAACAAACCACTCGCCATTCATCCCAGAGTCACAAAAACATTATAGGGTACAATTAAAACCCCCTGCAGCATGTATTTATATATATACATATATAAATACATGTATTGTACCCTATAATGTTTTTGTGTAGAGAGACAGAGAGAACATTTCTCTGTGTCTCTTCATCCTTTTGTAATCTTTCCTTTGTTACATAACTTTCAAAGTTACACATGCAAACATGATAAGGAATATGGAGCATGGAAGGTGTTCCTAAGCTGTGCTGGACTACGTCGGGGCATGTTGTCTGAGTGACCATCTATCCATCTGTCACCTTGACCCACCTTTTCTACCGTGTCACTTTATTGTCATTGCTCCACAAACCTGGGCCACAAACAAGAGTGTGAAGTTCAGCTCCCCTTTACCAGTTGTTGTTGTGCAACCCGCATCTCTACGTGACCCCAGTGCATTTCTACAGCATGGCAGCTCTTTTACTATGTGATACAATAACAAATCCTGCACTGAGAATTTGACTTCAACCGGGAAAATGTTCTCAGTGTTAAACTGTGAAAGGCAACGCACGGTTACATGTTATATTACACATAAGAAGTGTCTCATGGAAATTACAATAGTTGAGGAAAAGTATTCAAGTTTAAGTAAATATTGTAATTATCTTCAGGTAGCAGGTAACTCCATACAATAAAGGCATGCAAAAACTGCAATATGTAACAATCAATATTCTCTTTACATATTGATTCCATTTTTTTTCCATGTAGTTTTCAAATAAACTTTTTAAAATTGTCTGGCTTCTTTAGGACTAACACAGAGCTTCAACAGTAAAACAACAGCAGCAATCATCATCATCATCATCCAATATGAAGGGCACTGTGCCCTGGCAGCTGATATACTCAGTCTTTGTTCATTCCTCCTATGGTTCAACATCACTACAAATATTCTTAGTTCTAGCGCTAACATTGTGTTTGATGGACAAATGGGTAGTGAGGAATGTGAACATAGACACATCTCTGTCATGTGTGGACATGAAGTGCGATCACCCAAACATTATCTACAGAAACAGTTTGGCCTCCAGTTTAACTACTTGGTGAGCCTTAATGTTGTGTGAAGAAAAAAGAAAAAGACTAAGCAACCGAAGCGTTTCTCAACAATGATTGAGGCCATATCAAACAGTCGTTATGATAAGAGCTGCTTTGATAAGGTCTGACCCTATGGTACCCTGGTACACTAATCCACCTCCATGGCACATATTCAGGTTTCCATGCCGAAGCTTTTTCCACTTCACAACACAGAGCCGATGTTTTTCCTCTGCAATGATGTCTCCTGTGTTTTTACTTATTCACTTCTTCAATCTGTGCACAGAATAAAATATCAGATGTTAAGATTGAAAAGACCTGGTAAAAAAAAGATGAGGGGTTTTTGTGAGATATGATAACAGAAGCATTTAACCTCCTAGGACCTGGTGTCCTCATATGTGGACATCACATTTTGGGTTATTTAGACCAAAATACTCAATTTTGCTCTGCAAGGGCCTGATATCCACTTACGAGGACATTATACTGCTACTGTTCTATCGAAATTTTAAACGAATATCCTCATATGTGGCTCTCATTTTTCTTAGAAACAAAGATTAGGTTTAAAAAAAATCTAGTAATTCTTTGTTTTTACATTCATCAGGTCCCAATCAGCCCAAATATCAAAGAGAAGTTAAAAATGCATGTCGTGGAAGAGTTCGGGTCTTAGGAGTTTAATCAAGAGCTACAGTCCGATAGTTTCGGGGTGTTTTTATGTAATTTGGCTTCTGTACATCATCACAGTGGATTTTAAATCAAACAATCAAGATGTAACTGTAGTGCTGACTTTCTGGTTTAATTCAAAGGGTTTTTGGACATTTATATACACAGTCCCCCTACTCTCAGAGGCTCAGTCCATTGACTGCCAAAGAGAATCA